CGAGATTCGCACAGCTTTATGGGGGATTTCTGTGCATCCAACTGCGAGTACTCGCGGTAAGGAGAAATTTGTTAAAAGCGAATTTCCAAGACAAAACAGATAGCACACCTTCACCTCCATTCTACGTCAAGATGCTGAGACCCCCCAAATGCATGTGGTCATACCTTCATCTGCTAGACTTAATAATGCTGTTAATGTTTTTATAAATGTATGTTTTAATGTAACTGTGAAGCACTTTGGGCAACAAAATTGCAATTGAATTTGCTATATAAATAATTAAAAGTTGAAATGCATTACTCACTCTATCAAGCTTGTCATGTGCACTTTTTAAATTTGATCAATCAATGGGTAATGTAATGTTTACTATCTTTACTCACTCCAAACACTCCATAAAGTTACTCTGCCCAGTCCAACCTTTTTACACTTACTCCAGACACTCCAACAACACAACAGTTACTCCGCCCACTCCACCCAGTTACTCCGCCCACTCCACCCAGTTACTCCGCCCACTCCAATTGTAGACTACTGGTGGAGGCAAGAACACTTTACACAATTTCCCCAGAAATTGTAGATTGTCTAGTTATTATTATTATTATTATACAGGATTTATATATTATTATTATTATACAGGATTTATGGCGCCAGCAGTTTGCTCAGCGCTGTACAATATAATGGGAGACAATACAGCAACAATACAGTTCAATACAAGAGAGATAGGAGGGCCTGATCCTGGGAGCTTACAATCTACAAGATTACAATACAACAATTTAAGTCAAACTCAATCTTCAGTCCTAAGGGGGCCATAGTATTTGCATTTGAATAGAATAGAAAAAACAACAGAATGACATAGAATATAACTATAGAATAGAAAGGAATGGAATAGACTAGAAATAAAAAGAGAATAGAATAAAAAAGAATATAATTTGAAATGAATTTGAAAACGAAATGAAACAAAATTCCAAAAACGAATGTAACAGATTTCAGGAAACAAAAAGGTTTCAGTCAGGAAAAGAGGGACATTTGTGCGCTCTGCACGTGTCTATGCTGTGTTGTTCTCAGGACTGGATGGACAGGAATGGTGATCCTCTGCCGGCTCCATCAGCTCCCGTGTTTGTGGCTCAGTCGTGTATTTAGCGGATCACTTAGAGTTCGTCTTTTTTTCTCCTTCCTCTATACGTGTCGGGATTGTGTAATGTTTCATCATCTTCCTCCATTCCTGTCGCTGGATCTCCCTGCAGATCTGCGGTAAGTACTCCGAATTGTCCCGGATCTGGGAAGAATTCCAGAGATGATAATGTACTCCATGCTGCAAACCAATACACAGAACAAATCGGATCCGGCAGTTCGCTGACTCCGCGCACGCAACTCATTTCCTCCCAGGGGAATCCTTCATCCGCATTTTATGAAACTGCCGGACCCTAAAGGATATTTTCATCTCAGCATCCAAATTTGAAAAAAACAAAAACTAAAAAAAAAAACATATGGGGGGGAATGTGCAGTGCGAACATCAGCTCCATCTAGGGGCCATTATTTTGTATTTTCCTGAAAATCCGGAAAAATCATAAATCGGGACCATAACTCAGTACGGCCACTAGATGGAGCTGATGATTGTAGGAAATTATCATTGCAGATAAATGATGGGAAGTGTCATGGACTGCCAGTGCCTCTTCCATCCCCCGCCATATCCCTCCACCCCTCCCTTCCCCCTTGCACATTCAAATGTCTGTGGGGCTTCCATGGACAGGGCTGGGCCGGCCGTTGCCGAGGCAACCTAGCCGCGTCCCACTTGGTCTTCAAAAGACCCACACAGGAAGCAGCCCTCCTCTCTCTGTTCCTGTCCATGCTGCTGGAATCATCTTGCTCCCAGAAAGATGCTGAGAGGCTCGGGTGAGGGGGACCGAGCCTCCCCATCCATCCCCCCTGTGCACTCTGCAGACCCCCAAAAGGTCAGGACTGTAGCCCTCTGCAATACCCCAGGTTTAGGAGTCTCCACAGCTCTGCATGAGCCTTCTCAAAGGTCAGACCCCACAGCTGAGACCCTGCCAGTCTGTAAGCCTGTCTACTGAGCACCCTTGCACCCTGTCTGCTGCTGAGTGCCCTGGGAGCTGCTTCTGAGGGACCCTGCACACTGTCCGTGGCTGCGTGTCCCTGGAGGCTGTCTGCTGCTGAGTGCCCTGGGAGCTGCTGCTGAGGGACCCTGCACACTGTCCGTGGCTGCGCTGGTCATCCCTGTCTGCCGCTGAGGGTCTGCCAGCTGCTTACCGTGAGTGTCCTGAACTGTCCCCGCTGTGTTCACCGACCACCTGTGTCATGAACTGTGCCTGCTGTGTGCACCGACCACCCGTGTTCTGAACTGTCCCCCCGCTGTGTGCACTGACCACCCATGTCCTGAACTGTCCCTGTTGTGTGCACTGACCACCTGTGTCCTGAACTGTGCCTGCTGTGTGCACCGACCACCCGTGTGTTCTGAACTGTCCCCGCTGTGTGCACTGACCACCCGTGTCCTGAACTGTCCATGTTGTGTGCACTGACCACCTGTGTCCTGAACTGTGCCTGCTGTGTGCACCGACCACCCATGTTCTGAACTGTCCCCGCTGTGTGCACCGACCACCCGTGTTCTGAACTGCCCCCACTGTGTGCACCGACCACCCGTGTCCTGAACTGTCCCTGTTGTGCACACTGACTACCTGTGTCATGAACTGTGCCTGCTGTGTGCACCGACCACCCGTGTCCTGAAACTGTCCCCGTTGTGTGCACCGGCCACCCGTGTTCTGAACTGTCCCCCGCTGCTGTGTGCACTGATCACCCGTGTTTTGAACTGTCCCCGGTGAAAGCCGTGTCCTGATGGCATGCCCGGAATATAGCTACCTGTGGTGCCCCTGAGTGCTTGAGCCATCGCTACCCGTTGAGTCCCCGTGAACCCAATGTCCCTAGAAAGCTGGGTGGGAGCTGTGCTGGGGCCAGACTCCACAGCTAGAGTCCCGTTGAGTCCCAGAGACCCCTGCTTAGGGGTAGGTTGCCGCCTGTTTCCCAAGGCCCCTGCCCAGTGGTAGGTTGCCGCCTGTTTCCCAAGGCCCCTGCCCAGTGGTAGGTTGCTGCCTGTTGCCCAAGACCCCTGCCCAGTGGTAGGTTGCTGCCTGTTGCCCGAGACCCCTGTCCAGGGGTAGATTGACGCCTGTTTCCCGAAGCCCCTGCCCAGTGGTAGGTTGCTGCTTGTTGCCCGAGGCCCCTGCCCAGTGGTAGGTTGCCGCCTGTTGCCCGAGGCCCCTGCCCAGTGGTAGGTTGCCACCTGTTGCCCGAGCCCCTGCCCAGGGGTAGGTTGCCGCCTGTTGACCGAGGCCCCTGCCCAGTGGTAGGTTGCCGCCTGTTGCCAGAGACCCCTGTCCAGGGGTAGATTGCTGCCTGTTTCCCGAGGCCCCTGCCCAGGGGTAGGTTGCCACCTGTTGCCCGAGGCCCCTGCCCAGTGGTAGGTTGCCGCCTGTTGCCCGAGACCCCTGCCTAGGGGTAGATTGCCGCCTGTTTCCCGAGTCTCCAATCCGCTGTCCAGTCACGGAGGGAGCTCGGCCGAGGCCCCAAGCCTAGGGGGGAGATTACCTGCCTGTCACTGAAGACCCTCCGTGCCTGGAATCGTCCCTGGTTTGCGCACAAATCACCCTCCCCTGCCATTTCCCTATTGAGTGTCTGTCATTTTGTTGCTTCAATAAAGTTTTGTGTGTTCCCCATCTTCTCCGTGTGCTCTGTCCTGCCTACGCTTCCGTTACAGGAAGTATTTGGGATGGCTGAACAAACACTCACACATTCACATAGCGATTAAAAAACCCAAAAAGCTAATATTCAGGGCTTTTCTCAGCAGTAATGCAGTCCTGGCCCCACCAGCACTGAGGGTATGTAATGGCAAGGGGTGCTGGCTGCTGGGGATCTGTTGTTGCAGGGGGTGGGTCTGTTGTTCTGGTGAGGTCAATTGATGATGGTGGGGGATCTATTGTTGCTGTTGGTCAATTGTTGATGGGGTCTACTGTTGAGAGAAGGGTCTATTATTACTGATTGTTGGAGGGTCTATTGATTCTGGGTGCTGGGGGATCTATTTTTGCATGGTGGTCTATGGTTGCTGGGCGGTGTTGTGTTGCTTGGGGGGCTTGTCACTAAATGGGATCTACTGTTGAAGGAATCTATTGTTTCTGGCTGATGGGAGATCTATTGTTGTTGTAGGGCATCTATGTCTGCATGGCAGTCGATTGTTGCTGGGGAAGTTTATTGTTGCTGGTGGGGGTGGTCTATTGTTGCTGAAAAGGATCTACTGTTGAGAGAGGGGTCTATTGTTGAAGGAGGGTGTCTATTGTTGATGGCTGCTGGGAGATCTATTTGGTATTGGAGGGCATCTATGTCTGCATGGCATTCGATTGTTGCTGGGGAAGTTTATTGTTGCTGGTGGAGGTGGTCTATTGTTACTGAAAAGGATCTACTGTTGAGAGAGGGGTCTATTGTTGATGGCTGCTGTGGGAACTATTGTTGGAGGGCATCTATGTCTATGAGGCCGTCTATTTTGCTGGGGAGGTTTATTGTTGCTGGTGGGGTGGGGGATCTATTGTTGATGGGGGGGCTTATATTCTTGGGGGGTCAATTGTTGCTGGAAGAGATCTACTGTTGAAGGAGGGATCTATTGTTGATGGTTGCTGGAGAGTCTATTGATGCTGGCTGTTGTTGCTGCCATGGATCTATTGTTGTTGGGGAGGGCCTTTTGCCACTGGCTGTGGGGTTCTAATTTACTGCTTTTTATTAACATGAACAAATTCCATACAAATTACTTCTCACCACAAAATGATACTCAGCTCTATAGTCTCTAAAAGGGGTGGTTCCAGGAGGTGGGTAGGGAGGCGGAGACAAGAAGTGATTCAGAAGGGGGGAGTGTAACGATTATGAGCAATAGAGACATGGAAGCTGTATGCAATCTTGTTAAGGTCTCAGCCATTTTGTTTTTCATGAACCCTCATATTTCTTCCCTCCTCTTGAAATGGAATTTGTAGCTGTAAGTTGTAACGGACTTCAAAAGATCCTCTTATCTTAAATAAAACACAAATAGAGGCAGCTCCAGACCGCTAGTTAGGGTTGGCAGGATGTCTACACTGAAAAGACACTTCCCTCCGCCCGATCATAAAACAATAACTCAGCCGTCACACATGACCTGTTAGGCCATTAGGGCTCTAGCAATGCAGAGTGTGCCATAAGATGTCTATTCCACATGTAACAATTCATAAAATTCATCAGGAACTGGTCACATTAATATCAGGTATATATTTGGAGAGATCATTTCATGCCGAGCCAAACAAGGCCTTACATGACTATGTTAGCACATAGGAGAGAGAAGAAAGCAGTCTCTTCCCTCCTGGGTGACAAGGGTGCGCTGTGTTTGGTATCCCTGGGTTTGAAATATAATTCTGAATATTAATCTGCCAGTTGCTAGAATGCCACCTGAACGTACTGGAAGTTATTAATATTAGTATGAAATTGTAGTTAGGACTTGGTCATTAACTTGGTGGCCTCCTAGGACCCATCCCCTAACTGGATGATTGGTCATTTGTTCTCAGGCGACACCCCTCTGATATCATAGAAAAGGACTGATAGCCTGGAGAAGGGGAGCGCTCATTTAACATCAATCAGGAAACATCTAACGGACTTGAGAGCCAAGGCAATCTTTTTGATCGGACATTTGGACTCGGCTAAAACCAAGGACAGTGCAAGTATTCTGCCTTCTGAACTCCTTTCTTTTATTTCTCTGTTGCTTTATTGTTCCCTTTATATCTTTGTAACATCTTTTTCTGTAAATATTTTAATTTTGAACTTTTTAGTAATAAACCCTATTCTGACAAGCATTGAAACTGTCTCTAATGCTTTTAATGAAAACTAAAGAATCCCTGTCCCTGGAAGAGTGTTCCTGTATATAACCCTCTGATATCCCTGTCCCTGGAAGAGTGTTCCTGTATATATAATCCTCTGATATCCCCGTCCCTGGAAGAGTGTTCCTGTATATATAATCCTCTGATATCCCCGTCCCTGGAAGAGTGTTCCTGTATATATAATCCTCTGATATCCCCGTCCCTGGAAGAGTGTTCCTGTATATATAATCCTCTGATATCCCCGTCCCTGGAAGAGTGTTCCTGTATATATAATCCTCTGATATCCCTGTCCCTGGAAGAGTGCTCCTGTATATAATCCTCTGATATCCCCATCCCTGGAAGAGTGTTCCTGTATATATAATCCTCTGATATCCCTGTCCCTGGAAGAGTGTTCCTGTATATATAATCCTCTGATATCCCCGTCCCTGGAAGAGTGTTCCTGTATATATAATCCTCTGATATCCCCATCCCTGGAAGAGTGTTCCTGTATATAAACCTCTGATATCCCTGTCCCTGGAAGAGTGTTCCTGTATATATAATCCTCTGATATCCCCGTCCCTGGAAGAGTGCTCCTGTATATATAATCCTCTGATATCCCCGTCCCTGGAAGAGTGCTCCTGTATATAATCCTCTGATATCGCCGTCCCTGGAAGAGTGCTCCTGTATATAATCCTCTGATATCCCCATCCCTGGAAGAGTGTTCCTGTATATATAATCCTCTGATATCCCGTCCCTGGAAGAGTGTTCCTGTATATATAATCCTCTGATATCCCTGTCCCTGGAAGAGTGTTCCTGTATATATAATCCTCTGATATCCCCGTCCCTGGAAGAGTGTTCCTGTATATAATCCTCTGATATCCCCGTCCCTGGAAGAGTGTCCCTGTATATATAATCCTCTGATATCCCCGTCCCTGGAAGAGTGTTCCTGTATATAAACCTCTGATATCCCTGTCCCTGGAAGAGTGTTCCTGTATATATAATCCTCTGATATCCCCGTCCCTGGAAGAGTGTTCCTGTATATATAATCCTCTGATATCCCCGTCCCTGGAAGAGTGTTCCTGTATATATAATCCTCTGATATCCCTGTCCCTGGAAGAGTGTTCCTGTATATATAATCCTCTGCTATCCCTGTCCCTGGAAGAGTGTCCCTGTATGTAACCCTCTGAATATCCCTGTCTGTGGTGGCAGTGTGTGTTGCAGACACTTATGCTGATATCATCGTGTTATTGCTGGGATTGGTGAGTTTCCTCCTTCCCTGTAAGAAGTCGATGGTGGCAGTGTGAAGGGATAATTATGTAATTAACCTGACCCAGTAACAATCGCTCTCAGGCTGCAGGCACATAGATTGTGGTCCCGCAAGCTGGAAAATCTTTGGCCGGGTGCAGCTGAGAGTGGCATTGTTACGCACGTGGCAGCGTGAGATCGGCTGGTCCGTGGTCAGGAGTTGGTGAGAAGGGCTGGGAAGTTAGCGATATTTAGTTATGTGATATTTTATATACATTGAAGTCTATAGGCTCTCTAGGTATGTGATAAATATAACTCTGGAGCTGGGCTTCTTGCATCTAATTGCACTGTAGGTGTGTGGATGTGGATTTGGGGTCTCGGCTGGGCTGTACTTCACTCGGACCTATTGTCTAGTTTTTCACCTGGTTTTTCCCTATGCTTAAGTCAGCTTGTGATTTCTCACGGTTGCCAGTAGGTGTCACTGGTCATAGTGTGAGATTTCACAGACAAAAACTGAGTTACAGTGCCTTGGAAAAGTCTTCACACCCCTTGAAATCCCCCCCATGTTGTCATGTTACAATGTATTCCCCCTAAAATCCCCCCCCCCATGTTGTCATGTTACAATGTATTCCTCCCCCCCCCTGAAATGTCCCCCATGTTAACATGTTACAATGTATTCCTCCCCCCCTGAAATATGTCCCCCTTGTTGTCATGTTACAATCTATTCCTCCCCCCCCCCCTGAAATGTCCCCCATGTTGTCATGTTACAATCTATTCCCGCTGAAATCCCCCCCCCCCATGTTGTCATGTTACAGTGTATTCCCCCCCCCCCCCCCCCCCCCCCGATATGTCCCCCATGTTGTCATGTTACAATGTATTCCCCCTCCCCCCTGAAATGTCCCCCATGTTGTCATGTAACACTGTATTCCCCCTCCCCCCTGAAATGTCCCCCATGATGTCATGTTACAATGTATTCCCCCTCCCCCCTGAAATGTCCCCCATGTTGTCATGTTACAATGTATTCCCCCCCCCCTGAAATGTCCCCCATGTTGTCATGTTACAATGTATTCCCCTCCCCCCTGAAATGTCTCCCATGTTGTCATGTTACAATGTATTCCCCTCCCCCCTGAAATGTCCCCCATGTTGTCATGTTACAATGTATTCCCCCTCCCCCTGAAATGTCCCCCATGTTGTCATGTTACAATGTATTCCCCTCCCCCTGAAATGTCTCCCATGTTGTCATGTTACAATGTATTCCCCCCCCCCTGAAATGTCCCCCATGTTGTCATGTTACAATGTATTCCCCCTCCCCCCTAAAAAACACCCCCCATGTTGTCATGTTACAATGTATCCCCCCCCCCAAAATAC